AACTCCTGAAAATCTAGAATGTTTTCTTCAGTGGATGAATTGAATTAATGTCCTCAAACACATGTGTTGTGAATCTTAACCTCTATGGCTGTGGTTATAATCCCATTTTGGAATGGGTTGTCTTTTTTATGTTAATGAGGCAGGATTAGTATGGAGTGTATCTTTTTTTTTTTTTTTTTTTTCCTCTATTTTGTTTTAGGACATTAGCTGCAATCCCCTCAAAGTGACAGAACTCTTCTCACTTCCTCTCTGGGCTCCCCATTTCTACTTGCCCATATTTCATACCCCTTCCTGTCTTTTGGACTTTGTTGTTGGGCAAATGCTGCCTTTTTGGTCTTGTGTAGTTGATTGTCATGAGGATCATATTTGGTAAATTTTATTATACCTAAATTACACCTTAAACTTGAATTCACAAAACCTCCTGTAGGTGGTTCTGATGACCAATCAGAGTTTAGACTCATTGATTAATAAGGTTGATACTGTTAACAGTCATTTTATAGTTTCTTTCAATGACATTTAATATTACAGTGATGAGCTTTGCCTTAAATTGATGTTTACTCTTACTGAAAAGCAACATCATATGGATCATCACTCTGAAGTAGTATTTTTAGTGGAGAACCTTGTCTGACTTAATTCAGTAGTAACCACTATTTACTAAATCCCCCTACTTAAAAAAGCTCTCTGCTGGGTGCTTTATATGCATTATGTCTGTTCATTATACCTCTGAAAAGTGGCATTATCCCCAATGTGTAGAAAAGGAAACTGAGGTTCTAAACTTCAATAATATTACTAAGACCATATAGCAAGCACAGCAGAGCTTTGTTTCAAACAGATCAGTGTTCTTTCCTACTGTACCTCCTTCCTCTGCAGCTGTCTTGTTTTTCCTTCCTTTTCATGCCTTGCTCTTGCTGTTGGCTTTGCAGAAATGTTTTACTGTCTGGGGCAAAAGCTATTCAATACTGGGTTAAAAATCTAATATTAAATTTATGCAATAACAACATGATAAAGAACCTGGATTTTGGAACAGATTTAAATTTTTATGTGGTTTGGGACAAATCATTTAGCTCTATACGCCTTTAATTTTTTACCTGAGAAACGGCAGTAATAACTCAAGAGCTTTGTGGGTCTTGAGACAGAGCTGGTAGGATGTGTGGCACATAGTAGGTATTGAATACATAGCCTTTTTATATATTTTAAAGCTGTAGCTCAGTCCCATGGTCCATGTACTCAGATTGTTCACAGTTCATATGGTATATGGTCGTTTAGTCAGAGATGTAAAGGGTTAAGAAAACACCCTGAAATATCCTGTTTTTCTTTAACGTAATCCATTTTTGGTCACTAGTATTGAGCTTTTTGGCTTATAAGAAATTGAATTTATTCACAGCATTTATATCCTAAACCTGGGTACCTGTTGGAATATCTAGGTGATTTAAATGCCTCTTTTGTGGAAAAGGGGGATTTAGAGTGCGTTAACTTTGTTTAAAAACCAAGAGTAATTGCCATTTCTTTATTTTGCACATAGTGTGACCTAAGGTCAAACGCTTTCGTAAATATTCTTATCTGTTCCTCAGAACAACCTTGATGTGCATCACTCCCATTTTGAAAGGGCTATAAGGTTATTTGCCCAAGATCAGGATGACAGTAGAGGTAATATTCAAAATAAGATCTCACTTCAAAGCCTGTATTCTTTGCTTTTCCATTCTGTCTCTATCTATGGAAAGGGAAAAAACATGAATGTTTGTGTTTACTGTTAAATGCTTACTGATAGACTGAATGGGTTATGTAGGAAATAAGTGAGGACATGAAATAATTTTTTTGCCTTTTCTTCCTTTGTAGGGATTCTGAGATCATGCAACAGAAGCAGAAGGCAGCTAATGAGAAGAAGTCTATGCAGACAAGAGAAAAATGATGACTGGCTAATTTGGAAAACCTGGGTGCTACTGCCAACTAGGTGTATCATAATACACTCTTTAAGATCAAGATTTTGTAGAATGAACAGTCATTACCTGTGTTATAACTTACCCTTATAGAACGATCTATTTTAAACTTTACCTTTCAGCCTTAGTGTGATGTTTTAGAACCATTCTTTGAAAAATAAAACACTAACCATGCATGTAACATATTGGTGAATATTATTATTTATCACCAGTGAACATTTATAACATTTGTTAGGTAATGTTATCAGATAAGAGGATCTAGAGTCTGTCATGAACTTTGTTAAAGTAGATCTTCAAAGTCAATTTATTGTATAATAGAATTTATAATCCATTTGTATAATTTTACTTGTAATCAACTGGTTTGTTTGAAGAAGTATCTTTTGCAATAGGTACTACAAACCACGTGGAATAGCAACTGAAAGACCTCCTTACCACTTTAACAGTTTTTGAAATGAGTGCCATTTTTCAGTCTTCTTGAAACTTCCAAAACTTGTGACTTGATGTTATAAATAAGGAAATACAGTAACGTAACAAAATCAATGCCTCAGACCATATATGCATAATTACGCCAAAGAGAATATAAATGCTGTTCAAGTAGTGAATAAAGTAACTTTAAGTGCTCCGTTGCTAAATGAAAGGTTGACCGTTCGAGCCCACCCTATGGCTCCCAAGAGCAAGACCTCACAATACACTCCCTTAAGGATTAAAATACCAAAATAAAGCTCACTGCTGACAAGATGCTTCTGACTTATAGCGATTCTATAGGATTTCCAAGGCTGTAAATGTTTATGGAAGCACATTGCCTCATCTTTCTGCCCTAGAGCAGCTAGTGGGTTTGAAACACCAACCTTTTGGTTAGCCCCAAATATCTTAAACACTCCACCAGAGCTCCTTCCCATAAAGATTGTTGTTGTTGTTATGTGCCATCGAGTTGGACCCGACTCATAGCGACCCCTCCTTGGGTTTCCAAGGCAGTATCGCTACAGAAGTAGATTGCCCCATCTTCCTTCCAAGGAGTGGCTGGTGGGTTTGAACCACCAGCCTTCTGGTTAGCAGTCAGGTGCCTTAGGCACTATACTACCAGAGCTCCCATAAAGATAACAGCCTAGAAAATCCTATGGAGTAGTTCTGCTCTGTCACATGGAGTCACTATGAGTCGAAAATCCACTTGATGCCATCCAACAACAACAAAGTAAGTATTCCTCATATACTTGATTTTTCACATAATGCAATTCATGTTTTTACTGATCATCTATTATGTCAACCATTATCTGAACTGACAGTTCTTCAAAAGGTCACTTAATTATCTTGATGAAAGTTCTAGTCATCTTCTGGTAGTCACCAATGGGTACCATCCATAACCAGGATAGAATCCTAAATGTCTGTCTAATATATTGAATGAAGCAAACATGAATTTTTTATTTACTTTTTAATTTTTATTGTGATTTGGGTGAAAGTTTACAGAGGAAATTGATTTTACATACAGCAGTTCATACATTTTGTCTCATCACATTGATGGCAATTCCCCACAATGTAACAGCTTTCTTCCCACTTTCCCCATTGTTACCTCTTCCCTGTGTCTTTCCCTCCATGTACTCCTGTCCCCACCCCCCAGCAATCACCCTGTCCATACACTGCCCTTCTGTTCTCCCATGATTGATCACCCCAAGGAGTGTATCTACCTGATGTAAATGTTCAGCCCATATGCCTGTCTATTATTTGGCTGGAAGCCACAGGAGTGACTTTAATTCCAGACCTGAAGGGTAACTAGGGGCCATAGTCTCAGGAGTCTCACCAGGCTCTATCAGACCAGCAAACCTGGTCTTTTTTTATGATTTTGAGTTTTGTTCTACATTGTTCTCCCACTCTATCCAGGATCTCCTACATGGATGCCCCTCCGAATGGTTGACAGTGGTAGCTAGGCACCATCTAATTCTTTTGGTCTCATGTCATATAGGCTGAGGATCACAAGGTCTACCAGTCCCATGGACTAATTGCAAACATGAATTTTTTCAGCCTGTGTTTTTGTCTTTTTGGCCCAAATTTTTACTTGGGGACTTAACTTCAGCCTTCTAAACCTTCTATTATGGTAGTTAAAAGGGCAAATGGATTGCAGCAGCCTAAGTTACATTCTAATAAAAGGGATAATGAAGAAGACTGTACCACAAAGATTTTTAAATCTGATTTCTGTAATTCTATCCAGAAACGTCACACAGTGATAAACCATGAATACAAAGAACTCTTCATGCTTTAAGCCTATCCTGTTTACAAAAAGAAGAAGAAGAATCTGCACAGTTTAAAGTATCCTGTGCAGTTGAAGAACTTTGTGGTAGTTGTCGTTAGGTGCCATCAAGTCAGCTCTGACTCATAGCGACCCTATCCACAACAGGATGAAACACTGCCCGGTCCTGTGCCAGCCTCACAATCCTTGCTATACCTGAGCCCATTGTTGCAGCCACTGTGTCAATCCAACTCATTGAAGGCCTTCCTCTTTTTCATTGACCCTCCACTTTACACATGATGTTCTTCAGGGAATGGTCCCTTCTGACAACATGACCAAAGTAGAAGAGACAAAGTCTGGTCATTCTTGCTTCCAAGGAGCATTCTGGGTGCAATTCTTCCAGGCAGGTCTGTTGGTCCTTTGGGCAGTCCATGGTACTTTCAGTATTCTATGGCAACACCATAACTTTTATCAGCTCTTCTTTGGTCTTACTCATTGTCTAGCTCTCACATGCATATGACGTGATAGAAAACATTTTAGCATGCCTTAGTCTTCATAGAGACATCCTTGCTCTTCAGCACTTGAAAGAGGTCATTTGCAGCACATTTGCCCAGTGCAGTACGTCGTCTGATGTCTTGACTGCTGCTTCCATGGGTGTTGATTGTGGAACCAAGTAATATGAAATATTTGACAATGTCAGTCTTTTCTTCATCTGTCACTCCTCATTGGACATTGTGAGGATTTTCATTTTCTTTATGTACTTTATGTACATTCATTTACTATAATCCATAGTGCAGACTGTACCCTTTAATCTTCATCAGTAAGTGCTTCAAGTCATCCTCACTCTGAGCAAGCAAAGTTATGTCATCTGCATATCACACGTTGTTAATGAGTCTTCCTCTGATCCTGATGCCATGTCCTTGGTACAGTCCAGCTTCATGGATTACTTGCTCAGCATATAGTTTAAATAAATATGGTGAAAGGATACAACCCTGACACATTCCCTTCCTGATTTTAAACCATGCAGTATCCCCTTGTTCTGTACGAACAACAACCTCCTGGTCTATGTACAGGTTCCTCGTGAACACAATTAAGTATTCTGGGATCCCCATTCTTCTCAAAGTTACCCATAATTTTTTATAATCCACACAATTGAATGCTTTTGTGGAGTCAATAAACACAAGTAAACTTTCTGGTATTTGCTTCCAGCCAAGTTCCATCTGACATAAGCAATGATATCCCTTGTTCCACATCCTCTTCTGAATCCAGCTTGCATTTCTGGAAGTTCTCTGTCAATATACTGCTGTATCCATTTTTAAATTATTTTCAGCAAAATTTTACTTGCGTGTGATATTAATGATACTGTTCAACAATTTCCACATTCTGTGAGATCACCTTTCTTTGGAATGGGTTCAAATGTGGATCTTTTCCATTCAGATGACCAGGTAGCTGTCTTCCAAATTTCTTAGGATACATGAGTGAGTAACTCCAGCGCAGCATCTGTTTGTTGAAATATCTCAATGGGAATTCTGTCAATTCCTGGAGCCTTGAATTTGAATAATAATAGCATTAACTGGTTTTCATTGTTGTGTGCCATCTAGTTGTCTCCAACTCATAGCGACCCCTCCTTGGGTTTCCGAGGCAATATCACTACGGAAGTAGACTGCCCAATCTTTTCCTTGTAGGTGTATGGATATTATCCTATCACTGACAGCACTGTACTTCAGGATAGATCTTGAAACATTCTTTCTGATGATGAATGCCATGCCATTCCTCTTTAATTTATCATTCCTGGCACAGTAGATTATTAAGAGTTGTCTGATTCAAAGAGTCTACTTCAGCTCATTAATGCCTAGGATATCAATCCTTATGTGTTCCATTTCGTTTTTGACAACTTCCAATCTTCCTAGATTCATACTTTGTACATTCCATGCTGTGATTATTAATGGATGTTTGCAGCTGTTTCTGATCTATTTGAGCCATGCCACATCAGCAAATGGAGGTCCCAAAAGCTTTTCTTCATCCACATCATTAAGGTTGACTGTACTCTGAGGAGGCAGCTCTTCCCCAGTTGTATTTTGAGTGGTTTCAAGTCTGAGTGGCTCATATTCCATCTTTATATGGAACAGCATTTCAGGGCTATTCATAAAGTTTTCCAGTAATATATCAGACAGTATTTCACTGCTATTCATAAGGTTTTCACTGGCCAATCCTTTGATAAGTGGATGGCCCCTTCCTTCTTCCAAGTCTGTCTTAGTCTGCTGAAGTGGACTGCCCACCATGGGTGACCCTGCTGGTATTTGAAATACTGGTGGCATAGCTTTCAGCCTCACAGCAGCACACAACCCACCACCGTACGACAAACTGACAGGTGAGTAGTGGTGAAGAACTTTAGGCTTTTTAAAACTTAAACAGTTTCTAAAAGAACCTGGATACTAGGATAAGGAAGATCTCTAGACTATAGTCTTAATAATAATCTTATTATCATTAAGACATATCAAAAACTGAATGCTAGTGATTAATTTTTTATGGAATTTACTTGAATGAATTGATTGTGTTTAGGGGTTTGACTTTTAATCTCAACATGATGAGACATCTCGACGCAAATAGAAAAAGTTATCTGAGAGGAACAATTAAATGTGATTGTCGTAACACTTTAGTTTCTTATGATGTATATTTAAGGAAGGTTAATAAAAACTTTTAAAGAGAGAAACTGGCCAATTACAAGATACTATTGAAAAATGTCCAAGAATAATTTTAGTCATTGAAGTTAATGCATTTATGAACTTTAGCAAAGCAAAAGAAAATTATTTAGGTGAAGCAGTACAGACTTTACAATGTAAATTTGGAAAATAATCTAATTCATGGGAACAGCTTTCTAGGCATGATTAGAAATACTATCTTGGATCATCCTCAAGATGAGGCAGTATAAATTTTTATAAATCCCACTGAAAGTATGAAGTAGCAGCTGCCGCCACCCAACATCATATACTGAGGTCAGATTCATCAGTTACTGGGTTCTTTTTGAATGCCTCTTCT